ACGTGGCGACTATTAATTTGAGAGTTCCCTTCTCAAATGGAAGAGGGAAGAACAGATATGAAACTTAATTTTGTTTGCAGGGGAAAAAGTTGGTGCGGCGACTGTAGCTGAAGTGATGAAAATGAATGCAAAACTTTTCTTGTTAACGCTCGAAAAAATGGAGGAGAGGACTCTTCTTGGGCGACAAATTCTTAAATTTATTTCATCACTCCCTGCAGCCATAAAAATCAAGCAATCGTCATTCTTCTGACATTCCACTGCTCGGAATTCAAATAGGGGAATAAAAATTTATGTAACTGGAAGACTTGAAAAAATGTAAGATCAAGTTCTTGCTTCAAATTACAGATCGTTATCATGTTACACTTGAATAAACTCTAGTTTACGACGCAAATACGCAAAATAAAATCAGAATTATATTTGTAGAAAACATTGACATTAAATTTGTGAAAAATTGGCAATTTAATTGCTTTCTTTTCTACAAAGAACAAACAAAAACATAGTCTGCTGAAATAATTTTTTTTCTATTATATTGATTATTTTGTATGTTTATACCAGTCAAAGAAAATATCAAACTCTCAAGCGGTGAGTAACGAGCCTAAAAATAATCGCATTCATGCACCACAATTTGTTACCAAGGAGGATGGGTATGGCTTATTTCCTTGAGGAGGCATATTGGTGGAAAGGGCTTGAATTTATCACTCGACATCGCCACGCATGCATTCAGGAGCGACAGATTCGACGGAGAATTCCTCTTCACATTTTTGCCGAATCAAAAATTCAGCATCTTCAATGCAGCCAGCCCTCAAGTGGGTGAAAGAACGTCGTCGTCATCTCCATTGTTATCAGAGGCATGTATTCGCGCACCCCAGTATATCCGGCACAGATGGAGTTTTATCTGAACTGATGACGCATGGCTTCAATGGCTAATGTTCAAAATTAATTTCAATTCTGTTTACTGTTCTCCAACAAGTCTGATATACAATTAATTAAAACCGAGAAAAACTTTGCTTTCCAATAATGGTACGACATTTATTTTGTGTTATTTATTTAAGGTTTTAATATTATTTACCTTACTTCAGTTTGACTATGTTGTATGTAAAGATATTTTATAGAATAATTCTAAAATTTAACAATTTAATTAAAACATTTAAATATTTTCCCTTATTTTTTGCTGAAAACATCGCAAGTGTCTTTTGTAAAAGTGAACGAAATATCAGACAAAAAAATTATATTTATAGCGTTAGTCTTTGGTGTGACAGTGGAGTACTTTTAAATTAATATTTGTAGTCCTCTTTTGACCTGGAAATATTGCAAGTTGTTGTGGAAAAGAAGTAAATTTATGGGAAAAAAGTCTATAGCATTATTTATTGCCATAGGCGCGACTGATAGATGAGTATAAATTTGGATTTTGCAAAGCTAGAGAAACAACCCTCATAAAATAATTATATAATCTTGAAAGATTAAAGAGATTTGTGCTCTTTGATACATTCATAGCAAAAATCGGAACAATGAATTTATTTTACAGTTTTTTATTCTTAAAAGTCGAGTACTAAGTTTTTCTTGTTTTTAATTTTTGAAATTCTAAATTATTCAAAGGTCTTGCTTGCTTTTAATTAAAAAATAGCAATTAATTTGAAAAAAATATTTGAATTATAAATAAATTGCCAATGATGTGTTCCGATACGCTTTAATTATGAGGAAAGCCGTTACTGAAATTGAATATCAAAACCCATAATAATATAACACGAAGGATGGGAAGTACATTCGCAAACAGAACGATCCGCGTTGAAAAATGTTTAATTAACTGAATAGCACGCAGTGAGCTCACATTCGCCGCACCCATTCGGTATGTACAATCTGATAAACGCAAACTCGCAGAGTATTGGCATGTCTTACCATTATTTATTAGTCCCAGCAGCCACTCTGCAACAGCGAGCGCTAGATGAATGTGTGCGGATAATAATAATGCGAGCAAATATAATATCGTGGATGTTCCGAAGCTGGATAATGGCGAGAGAGAGAGAGAGAGAGAGAGAGGCAGCGTGCGCGAAATGCAATAATTCATTTCCGCTGATCAACAACTCCCGACTGGCGGACGCGCTCGCGCCTCTTTTTAATCGCACATGCACATGCCGCGCAATAAATCAGCGGCGTCGTGCAATTTCAATAAAGGAGAAAACGCGATTTCAACCAGCGAGAGTTTTGCTTGTGCAGTCAGTTAATCGAGTTGCCCCCGAGTGCATCTCATTCCGGATAGTGGTTGCATGACCTGATTCTCGGCTCCAATAATATCTGCTTTTGCCACCAGCATTACTTGAAGTTAACTCGGAGCTAATTTGATCGACGTCAGGCTCTGAAGAGCTTCATTAAATCGCAACAAAAACTTATTGCATATCTAAAGGAAATTCTTTCTGAAGGCTATTTAATTTTAATTAAAAATAAAGGATGCATAATTTTAATCAAAGAGACAAAAAAAATACTGAAATGAATTAATTAATGCAAAAAAGAACTGCGGTTGAAAGTTTTGGTTTCTAAATTAATTTATAGACCCATATATTTTATTAAATTGTTTTCCCTTGCCCAATTTTTGCTTTTCCACATGAAGCCTTTGAACAAAAAATATCAAATTTCACACTGTTAATCAACGCTTCACTTTTTTTACAAATGAAAAGGGGAAACATTTATTATAAAAATGTTTCATTTTGATTGGTTTGAATAACATTTCAAGCTTTCCTGCCGTTGCTTTCAACGCGTCCAAAGGACTGATAAAAACGGGAGAAATGAAAATTGTAGTCAGCACGGAGTATCTCACTTGATCACCACTGCTGTAATATTTGTTTACAAAAAGCGGGCCGACTACATTTCGTTTTCACCAAACAAATGTGGGCGTGCTATCCACTCTATTGATTAATGAAGCAAATTACATTCCTAATTTTAAATGTACGCTAATGCGTGCGTGACATTGCTGAGTGAACATTTTGTCATGCAGGCGATGAAGCTTTGTTGTCAAATTAATTGCCAGTACAATAACTTACTGTTCTTGGAAATTTGTAATAAAAGCAATCTCCTATATTAATGTCAAGTTATAAAATATAAATTGTGTGTTCCTGGAATATAAAAATATAAAAAATAAAAAATGATTCCTCTTTCAATAAATATATCTGATGTAAATAATGAAACCAACTTATCACAATTTTACCATTTTTTTTTTTTTTTACAATAAATCAAATAAATTTTAATTATGAAATATACTTTTCTTTGATCAAAGTTTTAATTTTATGATTTATGATTTTCATATTGCTGAATTATTAATGTAAATTACAATTGTATTGTTAATATATTTGAATTTAAGGAAATAATTCCAGGAATGTACCCATGAAAATCACTTGTAACTAAATTAAACTTCCGCAATTATTTTATTGACATCTGTTGCGTGCTCCAGTATTGTTCACAGGGCAAATTTAATGTGAAGAAAGCCCATAAAGCTGTTGGTGAAACTGAAGATCGCACCCTCTGTGAGCTGTGGGTGCAGACAATGCCTCTTGCCATGTGCAAAATAAATGAGTAAGAGCCATTTATTTTGCCAGCAGCCCCGGCGGGTTATAAATTTTTCAAGTGCGCGCCAAGGCAGGTAATAAATATGAGAATGAACCAAATTTATCAACTTGCCGCTGACAACGCGCGAAAGCGAACGTGAGCGCACCTCCAGGTATATTTCTCCTGGGAGATCCGTCATTAAAAGTTGTGTCATATCATCCCCTCGAGGTCTGGCAGAGTCTCAGAATAACCCTCTTGAACTAAGCGAGCTGCGGTTGAAATTAGGCCTCACACCGCACTCGCATTATACCATAAGCCTGAAGATAGTGAGGTGGATCGAGAGAGCTTCTAGTTTCCAGCAATTTTGATTGACCCTCCTCAAGCCGTGATTAAGAAGTACTGTATGAAATTTCTTACTTCTATTTGACGTGATATCATTATTTTAATTAATTACTTTCAATGGCACAAATTCATAGTAATTTATAAAATTTGAAACATATATTAAAAAATAAATTTATAAATAGGCAAAAGCCTGAAACATTTTTAGCATCATTTTAGGCTAGAATTATGTAAAAGGTCACTTTTAAACTATAATTTATTCATCTCATATAATAATGTAAATAGCGTAATTCATTGAAATTTTTTAGTTTGAACCTGCCAGCAATATGAATATTCAATTCACTGAAAGAAGGAAAAGTGAAATAGAAAAGGGGGTGGAAATATTGACTTTAAGTCAATCGGTTATGATGGTTGTATTTACTCTCTCCAAATTCAAAATTTACTCATGGATAGTATTATGTAATTTGTAATTTAAGTACGAAAGCGATTCCATTGTGACTCTTACGCTTTTAAATGACTTTTTTAGAAAAATATAAATCATAGATGCAAATAAGTAAATATATTTTGGAAAGAAATATTTTTATAAAAAATCATAAAATGAAGTGTGGATTTAAATTTAGCTTTTCCTCCTTGGGCTTTTAGATTTTTTATTGTTTAGTAGAATAAACAATATCCTGGTCTTTTTTCACGGAAACAAAATACCACTCAAAAATCCATCAAGGAAAGGCTGAATTTCAATTCAAACGCCATGAATAAAACCTCGGCTGTGAAATTCTTCTGCTAAATAAAAATTCAAATTTGGCACGTTAAAGAAATTACAATAAGCCTTTCAAAATATTATCAAAATCATTAATTTTTCTCTCCCACGTTAATTGAAATATCAAATTAAAAATTATTTTTATTTATAAACTTTAAGGTAGCTAAATTAAAGGAAGTTGGGAAAATTGCAAAAGTTTGAAGAAGAGACAAAGCAAGACACGGGTTCTGGGAATGAAGCAGCTAAGCTGGGCGCGCGCGACCGGAATCGCCGCTCACGCTCAGAAATCAGGAGGCGCCTGCGAGGCCGAGCGTCGGCGCAGTGGCGCCGGCGTCGCTCCTCCGCCGCTCTTCAGTGTTGGTGCTGCAGTCCTGCCGGGTGCACCTGCTTTGGCCGCCGCCGCACGTGCTTAGCAACCGACGACCCTCGCTCACTCTCGCCCACTCTCGCAATCAGTGTGTTGTTTTCTCGTGAAGTGACTCTCTTTTTCTGGATTACCTCGCGAAAGTTCAGCGAGGAGAGACGAGACATTTTTGCGCCACTTCGCACGTCCACCGAGCCAGTGGTAAGTTTTTTTGATGAATTTCTTCTTTCTTTTCTTTCCTTCTCCCCTGTATTAAACACACAAAAGGGTGGCTTGCCTGGACGTCTGCCAGCCGGGATTATGTATTTCGCTGGCCGGTGCCTCTTCTCAAGCATTCGTGTTATTCCGCAGAAGCGACCCATATTTCTGTTGTGCTCGTCCTCAATGCAGACGGCGTGAAGGAAAAGAGCTGCTGGCCTGCAGATATTCTCGCCCCATTTGCATATGTATGAACGCCGTCGCGCTTTTATTAATATTTATGCCACCCAAGCGCTGTGTGCTTTGTCCATATCTGGCTGGCGCTCTGCTTTATTTCTATATTCTCCGATATACTGCTCGATTTTCAATCTCAAGAGTCACGCTTCCGGGCGCATCCTTCTCCCCTGCAGCTCAAGCAGCGTTTTCAATTTACAGATTCCTACACTATTTTCAGAGAAACCAAGAAACGTAGCAAGTTTAAAAAATATTATCAATTCTTTATATATTATTGATTTTTTAACAATTTTATATGACGAATAAGATTTTTTTTCTATTAATTCTAAAAAATTTATTGCAACTATTTATTTCAATATAAGTATTGAAATTTTTGCATTTTAAATTTTTTTAAGTAAAAAAAATACCAATTTGATTTTATGTTGTTTCCAATCAGCTTAAATTTTTTTTTTTAATTTAGAATATCTCTCTAATTAAAATGTATTCAATAATTAAGCTAATCATGTCTTAAATCTGTTTGAATTGTTGAAAATAACTTTTGATGGTCGTATTAAATGACTATCTTTAAAAGTACCCCATTATTTAAATTAAAAATTCAAAAAGAAAGAAGCGTTTGTGATATATAGTTCTTTTTTCTCTCTGATAGCGTGGGTTTTACCGCGGCGGCCGAGTCTCTTATGATTTTGAGCGTTTTAGCAGACACCTGCTAATTGTAAACCCTTCCTTCTCTTTTTTAAAATTCAAATCTCGTGTGTCCACTGAGAAGAATAAATAATACTAATAATCGTACGTAAAACCAAATTTTATGCCTTTAGGAATTTTACAAGAAAAAAATTCAAATTTCTTGGAATTATTATCATTTTTTCTCAGGATTAATTCAATCAGATTTATCTTTCACCTCAAGATGACTCCTTAATATTTTATGGAGTCAAGTTCATATTATGTATTACGTAATAATTCACTCACCTTCATTGAGTGTGTTTACATTTTCGCTGGATCGAATGCAAATGTGTGCGATAATCCATAATCTTCAGTTTGCCTTCGGTTGGTTTAATTATTCATCGTCAAATAACTTCCTGTGCAAACACCCAGCGAAAGCAATTACCATCTCAAATAAAGTCTCTTTATCCGTCTTTGGCAAGGCAAACATGATGCGATTTTAAAGAGCAAACCGGTCTCACTCTTTCTCCGTCGTCCGTCGCCGTGTCAAGTGTGCGGTCATAATTCAGAGGCACCCCTTTGCTCGTCACGCGGCACATAAATACTCGCATTAACAACACAAAAGCTGGCCAAGTTTGCTCATGCATTTTTAAGCGCGGCGAAAGTTGGACCGAGAGTTAAAGCGAGCGAGCGAGCCTCACCGCACCAGTCGCAACAGCAGCTAACTTCATTTTCGCCGGCAAGTGGCTGCTTGCTTTTCTTGGCCTCTGTCTAGCTAACGTACTAATTATCATTTAAGCCGAGTGCGAGACTGTGCCGCTGGATGCAAAAACAAGCAAGGGCTGAAATTTAACCGGCGGCTTGTTTGCCAAATTGATCAGATGCAACTCAAACAAACTGTGTTGAAAGACCTGGTAAACAAAGGTACATTCACAATTGCGCCACACTGGGTCGCGCCGAAAATTTAATCGGCCTTTTACCAAATACCAGAGCCAATACAAAAGGCTCCGTTGATATAAATCGTGCTATTGAGCTAATCGAATTGACAGCCACGGATTATGGCAGCTCGTTGAAAGCTTTTCAAATCCAGACCGTTATAATTTTATTTTCCTTTTTTATTTGGTAAGCAAAATTGATTTATTATTTTCTCCGTCGGAATATAATCGAAAAGTGGATTTTGTGTGCAAATTTTTGGCGACATGGCGGCTCTTGGTCGACTGCCTCATTCAATTTGGCCGTGTGAAGTGCGATCTTGTGTAGGCTGCAGATAAACACTACAAGATAAAAGCATCACAATGTTTTTATATGTACTCTCCTTTACGTTATGTAGAGAGCAGGCCACGTGAATACAGATGGAGAGTGAGAGAGGCAACTCTGAATGCTGGGGAACGCATTGTCCAGAGCTGTGTGTAACAAAGGGCTCTCTTGTGCCTCTGGAATCAGACAATGCAACAGCACGAACTGGGAAAAAGTGAATTAGCAGATCTCGGGGAGATGGACCCTGTGGTGCACAAAAAGATTTTTTCTTTTCACTCGGGACTGTCGTTGAAGCACTGCAGCTTTTCTATTTATTTTTTAATTTTTATTCTTCCTAATTTTATTAAAATTAAAATTTTTAAACTTTAAATTATTTTCTTTGAAGTTTGAGAGGAAATTTGAAGAATTATTTGAAATAATTTATTTCACACCGCTTTCATTGGCTTCAAAATGAAATTCAAGTTCTAAGCGTTATTTTTTTTTCTTATTTTTTTTTTTTTTTTTTTTATTTTTTTTATTACAGAAATTTGTTATTTTGATTATTTTTAAAACTTTCAGATGCACAGAGTGTAAATCAAATTGATTCAGGAAGCTCGCAGCTGGGAGGGCAAACAGCGTTTTGTAAACCACGCGCACCACATTAGTGACCCTGGGGAGTGTGCTCGGCCAAGTGCAATTTGATTGAGCCTTGAGGCCATCAATCAGGCGCGTCTAGAATTGGCAGATCCACTTGATTATGCATGCTCGTGCGCGCAGAATGCCTCACAAAACCCTTTGGGAAGCGACTTGCTAGTTGACAGGGCAGTGCAAGATCGGTCGCGGCAAACAACCGCCTAATTGCTTCGCACAGTCAAAAAATCAATATATTTTTATGAGGAAATTAGCCCTTGAGAAGCGGGGGTGGATATGTTAGAAAATTCATGCTCGTCATTGTTGATTTGGAAATTTGCTACAAAAAAAACTGATGCAAAAAATTCTTTTTTTTTCAGACTGCGAGATGTAATTTTTTTTTTTTAATTTTGAGCATTCAGAATTTGAATCGTACTTTTGGATAAAATTCCTGTTTTTTTCCTGCAACACAACATGAAGAAATTATGCTGTCTATCTCATCTGTTGTGGAACAAAAGATATATATTTTTCTTCTCTACCGCACACCGCTCGTATTATCTCACACGAGCGCCGACTTGCCGACTTTTACGTGTTATTTGCTCTTTGACATGCATTTTCAGACTCGGCTTTGGTTGGATAATTTTTTTTCCTCTGTTCTTTTGGGTCGTGTGTATTTTCCCCAAACGCCATATTCTTCAAAGAGCGGAGCGCGTGGCACGAATTTCTGCGGAGGACAAATAAATAGAGGGCATGAGAGATCTTTTGCCTTTCAGCGGCAGTAAAAGAGCGGCGAATTTATAAATATTAGGAATGAGAGAAAGCGCGCGCATAAAATTTACAAAAGCATGGCCGAGAATGATATCAAAGGCTAAGGGCAGTAAAATTTTATGATGGGAAAATATTTTTGCAGCAGCATAAGAAACGCGCGCGCGTGGCTATTTCTTTTGCTTTTCCTTTTATTCATTCCCGGGCTCTGATTTTACGACTGTGTGTTTCAAAGTCTGCGTTTGGCGGCCCAATATAAAAAACGAGCTGAGAGAAAAAGTACAGGCGGCCCTGCGATCCACATGCGCTGCTTTCACCAAGCCATGCGTAAATAACCACCCTTCAGGTCGATGAATAATGATTTTATTGGGGCCCGAGTTGGTCTGCCGGGACGTGAGCAGGCAAGAGATTGACGATTGCACTGATAAAAAATAAAAGAGCACCTCGGAATTTAAAATTAATTGGTGATTTGTTACACAAAGGGAGTTTTTTGACTGCTTCACGACAAAAAGAAAATAAATAAAATGATATCAAAATTTATAGCAGGAAGCGCTTGTTAACCATTACAAAGGGTTTTTATTTTATTATAGGCAGATTAGAGGTAAAAGAGGCAAAATTTAAAAAGAAAAATATACAGTAAAAAAAGTTGATAAGGATGGATTATTTAATTTTTTTTTTTTATAAAATTTAAGTAAAAGCAATACTGTTTTTTCTTTAGTTTGATTCAGGCTATAAAAATTAAGGAAACTTTAAACAATTAAGTTGTTTGTTGTTGAATTATGAACCTTCGTGATGGATTTTAAGGCTCCAATTTTGTAAACTATTCGCATTCCATCATAGCAGTTTGACAATCCTTACAAAATCAGATCAACACGCTACATCCTTCATCGTGTATACGCTGTTAGCTGCTTACATAATTCAATTTGCCTATAATTTAGCTAATACATTTCATGGAAAATGGAGAAAGTAGATATTTTTGCATATATTCTTTTATTACTTTTAAATATGTATTTTTTTTTCAAAATACAAAAATTGTATGTTTTTTAAAGTCAAAATCACCATGGAATTTCTTAATATTTGTCAAAATTATCGTTGATTTTGGAAACTATATTAATTCCCATAAAAAATGTTATTGACGAAAAGCTATTATTTTTTGTATGCTGTAAAAGCAGTTTAAAATTTTGGTGCTTATTGTTGGGGCAACAGAAAAATTTCGTTAAGTGAGTGGCGTAGATGGCGTAGTTGTTCAAGCGTGTCAGGCTTTGACTTGTTAGCGCGTCAAAACGTGTTCTGTATCGTCACTCATGTTCGGTGCCGAACTTGCCTGTGCGAGGTTTGTTCTGTTTCCTCCAGTTGTTGGAATTCCTGCACCAAAAGGGGGGACATTTCATAAATTCCAGCGGCACCTGGCTTTCCAGCCGATAAGCACTAAATACTGGAGCTAGGCAGGATCAGACAATTCAGATGAATATACAATT